ATACTTCTCTTACAAGAGAGTCAGTTTTCCCTGCTTCCTCTACACATACTTGAGAAATTAGCTGTGAATGGGAGGGAGCTCTCAAGCGAGACCTGGGATCAACTCTAGGAAGGGAAGATTGGTAGCTCTGGTTCCCAAGAAACAGAAGGTTCATGCCATGGGGTGACAATGCTGACTTATCTTTCCCCATTCCACTCTTCACCAGTCTAGGCAAAGAATAAAGTAGCAGTCATGGTAGGAATTTTAAAGGGTTAGGAAAAAATTTAACATAAATATTAAAATTTAAAATACTTTAGTTCATACGTCTAATACCATTTGAGCCATACATCAACCATGATAGCTATGTTAGTCAACACAGGTATCATCATCCCCATGTGCACAATAAGGTAGAAAAAGTTAAGTGACTTTCCTTAAGTCCAACAGATAACAAACAGGACTAGAATCCAAATCGTCTAACACCAACCCAATGTTCCTTCCAGCACTGTATTCTATGTTGCTTCTAGACAATAAAGGCACATAGAAGTTGGAGTTAAGGTAGCAGAGCTTTGCTTACTTAGGAGAAGTTTCATTCCTTATATATAAATGGGAAAATACTGAAGGCAAGGGCTGTCTTTAGTATTTTTCTAAATTTCTACTTTCCTACATCCCATCCTATGTTCCTTTCCTGCCTCCTGGAGTTCCTTTGTGCCCACTCTCAGGTATACTATGCCATCATTCTCTGGTTACCTCAAGTATCAAAGTATGAGTATAGTTTCATGGAATTTTTCTCCTAATTTTAAGGTTTCAATGACTAGCAGCATCCCCCTTTACCTCTACAGTACAGCATGGGACAACATGGAGTGGGGAGAGACACAATTCTGCTTTTACATACACGCAGTCCTATGTGTAAAGATTAAGGTTAGTTCTTAGGACTCCCAATTTCCTTCTTATAAAGAGAGCACACGCCATGAATCCAGATCTAAAATGAGCACCATCTTTAAAACTGAGGGAAGGGGAGGGTCTTTTAATCACACTGCAGAAAAAAGGAGCTTCCCCTGCCCTAAGCCAAGCAAGATCTCAGAACCCCTAACAGTGGAAATTATTATCTAGACCCTAACAGTGGAAATTATTATCTGTGGAATAGGCAAATCACAAATGCAGGAAGGCCTAGCTACCTGGGCTACAAAGCATATGACCTTCAGAAAGACTTCAAAGAACAGTTAAAGTTCCCTCTTAGCTCAAATTTTCAAGTCACACTCTTACCCTTCTAACCCAGGCCTCCCCAAATTAACAATGTATTTTGCTCCCAATAGATAAGCTATTATCAGCCTTTGGGAATAAATTCTATCCTTCTAACCCATTCTATCCTTCTAACCTCATCTCTTAACATGTCAATCGAAGGTTTGTTGAGTGCTTTAAAAAAAATTGAGCTAAAATTTAACTTTTACCTTGCTTCTGTTCTCTTTACCCACCCATTCCACCCCCAATTTGATAATGGTAGTGTTGAAATACTAAAAACAGGAATGTAGAGATTTATAATCTTTGAAGATTTGAATCTACATTGTAAAACTGAATTCTTACAACAATCCTCTGGTTGGGTACTACTATATGTGGTTAAATAACTTGCCCTAAAACATCTGCCTAAACATAAAGAATAGAGTCAGGAGGCAATTTCCACATTTTTATATTAATTTATACACTTTGATCATTATAATTTGGTGGTCAAATTTCCCTCCTGTTATAGGGTAACAAAAAGAATAGAACAAGAACAAAAACAAAAACAAGCAAAAAACAAACAAAAAACTAAAAGAACAGAACAAAAGTTGTGATTCAACTGATTTTTGAGTTCATAATTTTTAAATCTGAAAAAAATACCTTAGTAAGCCACAGGTGTCAGAATTTTACCACTATTAAAGAATAAGGTCAAGCTTGCCAAATGGAAATGTCAAACAAAGCAAGGATTTGCTTTAACCTCTCCTGAATAAAGTTCAATTTTTAATCTCTCTATAAAATCATGAAATCATGAAACTTAATTTTGATACAATTTATTATCTTATCAAGAAATGATGCATGTAGTGAATAACTGCCTACTGTGTGTGTGATTCATAGAAAGCAATCCAGCTTAGGTGTGTACAGGCAACTTAAAATTATTTTTATGTTAATTTCATCCTGCAAGTAAGGCTGTGTAAAGATATTGTTGAATAAGTTTACAAAATTGATCTTCAGTAATCTGATCTATCTTATAATAAATTATCTAGAACCAGTCTTATCTGCTGAACACAAGGTCCTTAATGCCTGACCTTCCAGCGGTAGATAGTTAGGAGGTCTAGAGCTCCAATCCTGGAATCAGGAGCAGAACTGTATATGGGAGCTGATGGAGATGGCTCACACCAGGAGCAAAGATTTGGGACCAAGAGCCATCAACTGGTAAAAAATAAAGAACCAACTGATATCCAAGGAAGAAAAAAGCAGAACTTGAGGAAATAACTGAAGGAGTAGCCCAAATCAAAAATAGGAGTCACAGTGAAAGGCTAGCAAAAGGAAACAGACAAGATAACAGGAGGGTTAGCGTGGCAGAGCCTGGAAATATTCCAAGTCAACAGTGTGCTATAGGATGGATGTCTTTGACTAAGCCCATAGGTGAAAGTTCTTAAACATCCTGTATCGTTTGGCACACTTAAAGGCAAGGAAAACGTCTTACATAATTGCATTTAAGTCAAAAGAGCTGAATTCAAATGCAAGCTTTGACAAATGTAAGGTATGATTAAAATACCATAGTATGCTGCTATGTAAAGTAATTTGCTCATTTTTTACTACGGAAAATTTCCCAGACACATATTTAGGAATGAACTCTTATTTTGACTAGATACTGGTCATTGTACCACAACACTTAAAAATTTTGCTGGAATATGTGTTGGATGGCATTGTTCCACTGCAATTTTATTTGATTTCTCAGTATAACTTTGGCCAGTAATATTTCTGCTTTTATTGTTGTAGAAAAAACAATCTTCTCTCCCACTTCTGACCCCTCCTCCAACCTTGTGTGTATGTATGTGTTCCCATAATTATCTATCGGGCATTATTTAAGCTGTTCCAAACAAAATCTATTAAATCTTTCATGACTAATCTTCAATTTTATCAAAAAGTTGTGATGAAACATTATTCCAAAAGTGTAAGTTCCCTTATCATTTGCTTAATTAGTAGAGCATTTTCTCACTCTTTCTCTAAAATATTATTTAAAAAAGAGACACTTTTAAGTGAGATATTTAAGAGGTAATAGAAAACCAATGAATGGGGAAAAACAAATCTGACTTATAAGGAATCTATGGAGAAGGCAGTTTTTGTTTAATAATACCATTAAATTTCTACTGGAAGATAAAAAAATGAGATAGTTGAGCTAAGAGCCTATGAAAGACCATCTATTTAAGTTCTTGTGTTCAAGTTAAATTAGGGGTGAGTAGACTTGAGCAAATAACAAATACAGTAAGCTTACACACTTACAAAATAGTGAGATTTCATATAACATACAATATACTCTATATATATGACTTATAAACCTACTTTTATAAATATTAGGATAAATAATGCATAAGTAATGAACCATAATAAATCATATGAAAACTAAAAACAAAAACATCACTTTGAATAAGCTAAATATATATAATTTTTAGTTGTCAATCATACCTTAATAAAGTTGGGGGAAAAGAACTAACATAATTGATAAGGAAAAAAATAAAACCAAAAACAGTATTAACTTATATTTAGAATGAGTTTCATACAAATTTTTCTATACTGGCATTCTGTAATCTCCTATTTTCTAAAAGGGGAAATAAAAAGAAATGAAAGCTTGAAAGTAACTATCAATTTAATAATTTAAATTTAAATTGAGGGTGATAATTGAAGTGGTTGCTGCTAGAATTTTACTATTTTTAGGATTCTGAAAAATGAATAATTTATAAGCCTTTGGATAAGCTTAAGTACCTAAGAGAAAAAAAAATGAAGTAGAGTTTTGAACATAAAACTGAAATTCCTTTACTAATCATTTTCTAATCTAATAGTTTTTATAATATTATCAACTAATGCCAAACGTCAATTAAAAATAAGTTAACAAAAATAATTTATATAAGTGAAATTACAGTTTCTGTTAATTCAAAGTCTAGAAGTTAAAATTCCTATGTATCAACAACCTCTTTAAAATATAATACTAAATCACTAGGTAGAAGTAGAATTTAAGTATGCATGTCAAGAGGGCAATAAATTCTAAACATTCAGTAAAAAATAACTTCCAAAACATCAAACTTCTAGGAATCAAGTGATAACCCAAAATAAAATATCAAAATCTAATGTAACTATTTATAACTTTAAAAGTAACTCAGTTGAAATTTCACATAAGTTTGTATCTTGATGTTAGAAAGTTCAAGGAAGGTATTTTTGGTGAGTCTTTTGTTTTAAATCATTCCAAAATCACAAATATCTTTTTTAAAAAATACATACATGTATTTTTGAAAAACAAAGATGTATTGTAATTTTTAATAATTACTAATATTTTTAGCACTTAAGAAAATACATTCATTTTTCAAAAGAATACATTATATGCTTATCTTCCATCAAATTACATTAGGCAATATTTTAACACTAGTGATTTGGGATCAAATGTATATATAGGAAACTGTAGGCAATACAAATTGTCTTTATAAAAAGATTTTCTTAAATCCAGACAATTCGAGTTTGAGGACAATTTATAGATGAGAATAATATATTGTTTTAATTTTGAACCAATGTAAATCTGATTAATTCGTATGACATTTATTTACTGAGTAAACATAGTATAGAAAGAGCTAAATATTTATATGATTCTTCTAAATACAAGATTAACCATTTAAAGCATATAATCACTATTAATACTGATTACGTATAACATAAAAAGAATTTGAAAATATACCAAAAGATCACTTTATCTGTATATGCTTTCAAATATGACACAAATAGAATTTTTTTTTTAATTTAGCACTAACACTTACTCAAACAAGACCTTTTGCCAGCTGTGCTTGCACCACCTGAACACAAATTGCCTCCTCGATGAATTAATTCAAGTTCCAAATTGGTTCTGTAAATAAAGCATTAAAATATATCTCAGTCATTAGGTTGAAGCTACACTTTTTGTTTTATTGATATGCCTGAATCAACCTAAATAATAAAGTTCTTCAACTGTATAATTTCGAAAGTAGAGTTTATGCAATATCAGTAATAATCGTATTTTATGATATTTCGAAATAAAAAAGGGAACGGTTTATCCGTCCTTACTTATATATTCATATGTATAACTGCAAAACTGCATATATCACAATGTAATTGTTACAAAATTCCAACTGTTGGCAAATACTAAAAACTAGGTCATAAGGAAAATAACTGCAACACATTTCATAAACCTGCATATGAATGTGAAGAATTTGTACTCCAACTGTTAGCCACTGAGTAGATGGTTACTGTCATACAATACACAAGGGCATATCCATTTTTCTATCAGAGAAATGGTTATCATTCATTAGAGCTTAGACAGTATCTAGAAATCAACATGAAGAAACACCACTAACATCAAAGTGGCTATGAACAACAAATATCATTAACAGCAGTCTCTCTTGTGGACTTCTAAAATTACAGTTTTATTAAAATATGGTGTGTAATTACTGACACTGCTAAACATCAGTATTGTTCAAATAGATCTGAAGTTATATATTTAGCAATTACTAGTTTACAGAATAGCAATAATTAGTAAATTGACATTTCAAAAATCAAACTGATACAGAAAGATTTACTCAAAACAGTAACAGTAAAATAGCCAATTTTGCCAAAATAATAAATAAAAATTCTGAGTGATAAACTGTATTTTTACTTCAATAGCATGAATAAACCTAAACACACCTTTATTTGCCATAACTAAAACTGAATAAACCTCTTTATATCGAAGATATGCATTTGACACTAATAATGAGCTATTTCCCATCTTAAAAAAAAAAAAAAAAAAGGCAGCCGAGTTTCAAGCTTACTCTCTGCAAGTGAATTCAATAACAATTATTATGCTATTTTATTTAAAACAAAACATTTTGAACTGATTTTGGTTGTATTTTGAACACAGAATATTTAAAAATGCCATTTTCATATATTTACTTATAAATGCAAACTGTTAAAAAATATTAATATTCCTAAATCTGTACAGTTGCCACCCATTCCTAAAGAAATACTTTAATCCTCTCCACTGGGAGGGGAAGTGGGGAGAAGAAGCAATTTAACATTGATAATGTTCCTGCTCAGAGCTCCATCTGGTCGCTGCTGATAAGGGCATCTGTGTGACAAGGGAATTTTCCACCCTTCAGGCGGTTTGCATTGCTCACTGAACTTCTAAAAACCTACCAGCAAGGAAGCAGGGACAAGGATTTCATATTAGTGGACAGAAAACGAGCGGAGACCAGCATGTGTTCCTTCATCAAGGGAATATAAATGAGATCAATACATTTTGTTTTCACAAATCTTCTGTTGCCTAATCTGTAGGAAAAAATTAATGGCTATATTCTCTTATAAAAACTAAGATTTCCTAGATGTACTTTTAAAAAGAGCTAACGAGAAACATGATCAATTCTAATAATCAAATGTCAGAGCCAGAATGTCAACTTTTATTTCAGCATAATTTGCAAAAATATTAATTAAAATATAAATACAAGAAGAATTCTCTTTATTCGATTATCAATAAGATACTTTAAAAGATGACAAATATGTACCAAGAATTTGATTTTAAAGAATGCTTCAAAGAAACTACTAAATGTTATTATTTCACATTATGTTTGGAAGATCTCCTACACAATCTTCTTTCTGAATTAAGAAAACAAAAACTACCTATCCAAAGGTTTAGTATCATAATAATATCTAGGACTTTAAAAATCAATGTCAGAGGCCCTAACCATCAGTTTGTCCTTATTTCATTTACAACAAAATTGGCCCTTCGAGACTTGCTAGAAAAAGGAAGACACAAATGCATCTAATGCCCCAGTCTAATCTTCCCTCACTGTTGAAAATCACAACACAATATTCGGTTTCTGCCCTCCAAAATGGATAATGCAAAAATAAAGATGTGCTGGGAGCAGGAGTTTTCTGAGCTTTTTCGTTCTCAGAGAAAAGTAGACCCTACTTCCTATATTTTCTAATACAAATATAATCAAATTAGTTTGGAAAGGAAAAAAAGAGAAAATCTCTACATTTAAAAAAATGAGAAAAACTACTTAAAGCCTCTCATGGAGGCCACCTAGACATATCCACATAAAACTCCTCCAATTACGCTCCAGCTTCTTTTCATATGATCAAGGTTTGCTTTCCCTTTTCCACTCTACAACCCTCACTCCATCTCCCCACACCTTTGGTACCAACATCTATTTCTAGAGCTATAATATGAAAAAAAAAATGTATAATTTGTACACACACACACAGAGACACACACTGGTATAGTGTGGGTTCAAGGACTGAGCCTACCATTTACTGGTTAAGCAAGTTACTCAATTTCTCAAAGATAAGTATCTTCATCCATCCCATAGCCTATGTAAAACACAACTCAAGCTCTAACTCCTTCAGGAGTTATGGAGAACTAACTCCCTTTTCTTGGGACAGGATAGAAGAACTTCCATATACTTTATATTTCAATTTGCTCATCTTCCTTTTTCAAGTCCTAAAGCACTTTCTCAATGATATATATTTTTAAACAAACTGTATTCTTTTATACAGATTAATGTATATTAGTTTTGTCTCTCCAACTAAATTGTAAATTCCTGCAGAGCAGGGACCATTTCAGATAAGCTTCTAAATCCCTGACGGTACCTAGCAAAGTGCTCAAAAATTTAGGACTTTATAATCTCTTTGTTTTGATATGTAACCAATGATAAGATTCTCTTTTGTCCCTGAAGTTTACTCTCTTTCTTTTGCTGACCCTTCCTTCTATTCCCTTAAACCCAGCAGTGGATCAATAAAAGGCAGGGTGGGTAAATTATTTGTTTTACAAAAGAATTTTTTAGTTTTTAAAAGAATTCATAATTTGATATTTTAGCAAGCATCTCTTTTATTTGTAACATAATTAGTTTATAAAGTTTAAACTTATAAAGCAACTGAAGTATAAAGCAAGGTGCATTCACTCTACTGAGTAGTTTACCTGCTTGTAATTTAAAGATATCTCTCCATCTACATCTCAGTTACTCGTTTCATCTTCTTTCCATTTCCATGTTTCTCACCATATAAAATACAGTGCAAGTGCTACTCACCAATACCTCTATGCTATATGTAACTTGGGTCCAAAATCCTTGGAAAAATCAATTACTAAAATTAGTGTTATTTGTTGCTTCAATAATGAAAAAATAAATTGGTATTAAAGTGAAGAAAGCTTTCTTCCCCCAAATTAACTTTCCATTATCCATTTGAATGACTGATATTTGCAATAGAACATTTTGGAAATACATTAAAACTTAAATATAATGATTTTGATTTGTTTAATATAACAAAAAGATAGCATTCCAACAATTTGTCTGCTGTCCTCAGGAAATTTTCCAAGGCTTCATTATACAAATAAAATTAAGAACAAAGAGATCTGCACAGTCCTACCAAAAAAATTAGTTCTAAAACAATTATTAAAAGAAACAGCTTTACAGGCTAAGTATCCACTAGAATTATTTTATTTCTAAACATCAAAAAATTTAAGCTCCCCAAAGAACAAATAAAATTAGGAGGGAGAAATTCCACTCTGGGAAACTAGGATTGCCTTCTATTAAAATTACTAATGTCAAATAAATAAACGTACACATTCTAATAATAAACTATATATTTAAGAAACACAACATTTAATTCAAAAGTTAAGTGATTCAAATTAAGTTTAGTTCTAAATATTTTACTTAAAAATATTTTAATGTCTATCTTTTAGGTATAAAAATATAATCTGTATTCATAAGAATTTATGAAATAAGGTTATATGCTAGGCATAAGGTAGCATAAGCTATACCATCTAGGTTTGTGTAAGCACATTCTATAAAGTTTGCACAGTGACTAAATCACCTATCAATGCATTTCTCAGGACATATCCTCATTTTTAAGTAATGTATGTGACTGTATATAATGTGTATACACACACACATACCAGACCTAAGTTGGCCTACATTCACTCCAATATTCTATAACATTATTACCACAATATTCTATAGAAGTTTTGTAAAACCTTGAAACCTTGGAAAATTAAATTATATCTTATTTAGTTTTTAGATTTAAGGTGGAATTCGGTTTCCTATCTTGAGAGAATTACATCCTATTCAAATAGGACACAACATACTTTTTTCCCCTTCAACTCATGTTTTTGATTCTTGAGTCAATTTGGTTTTTGTTTGTTTTCTTTTGGATGACTAAATCAAACTTAGAGAAGGCACGCAATCTCACTGTGAGAACTTTACAAAGGATGATGAGGTTTTTAAGGGTTATATACTTTCACTTTCAGAATCATTACCTTGCAGCTTTAGAGTTTATCATTAGCAATCAGAGAAGGATGGGAAGAAGGGAGAGCATATTTACTATTTCTCTATATACCAATCATTAGTATATAACATATGACATCTTTTCCTACTTCTCCATAAAAGAGAAAAACTGAAATATGTTGATTCAAAATGTCTCCCATTATCACAACAAGCTTTATTCTATAAGTTATTTCTATACTTAAAGAAGTAGGAATCTAAAACTTCCACTAAATTTAAAACAAATTACTGGATTTATCATACTACAGCAAAATTCCATATACGGATCATTCCCATTCAACCAGAATTTTCTTATAAGGTCAATCCTACTAAAATCAAAGGCATAAATAAAGAATCAACATAAATGTGTGTGTGTATACAGTCATGAACTGCATAACGACATTTCAGTGAACAATGGACAGAATATATGACAGTGATCCCATAAGACAACAGAGCTGAAAAATTCCTATTGCCTAATGATATCATAGCTGTCCTAACATCATCCCACAATGCATCATTCACGTGTTTGTGGTGATGCTGGTGTCAACAAACCTACTGTGCTGCCAGTTGTATAAAAGCAGGGACATACATTTATGGACAGTACATAATAACACTTAATAATGATAATAAACAACTAAATTACTGGTTTGTGTATTTACTAAACTACACTTTTTATCATTATTTTAGAATGTACTGTCTACTTACAAAACAAAAAGTTTGCTATAAAACAGTATGCCATGTTACACCAGCAGCCAACTCATACATCTTTTGTTTATCACATCTATTGATTGCATTATTTTCCCTTGTGCTTGATTTAATTTGTGTTTGTACGGTAACATGCTATACAGGCTTGTAGCCTAGGAGCAACAGACTACACAATATAGTCCAGTTGTATAGTAGGCTATACCACCTAGGTTTGTGTAAGCACATTCTATAATGTTTGCACAATGACAAAATCATCTATCAAGGTATTTCTAAGAACATATCCTCATTTTTAAGTAACATATGTGACTGTATATAATGTGTATACACACACACATACCATAACTAAGTTGGTGTACATTCACCCCAATCTTCTATAACATTATTATCACAATATTCTAAAGAAGTTTTATAAAACCTTGAAACCTTGGAAAATTAAATTATATTCTATTTGGTTTTCACATAAAGTGTATTTTATTGCAAATATGAAATTAGTAACTCTCCAGAAACAAAATGTTAAATTAGCTGTAATAACTTCCCCAAACTATTATGGATAAATAACAACAGTCTAGGAACATGCAAACTAGAAAGTTACTTCCCAATTCAATAGGATCCTTTTCCATCAATCTGTGCCCAGCATTTTCATTCTTAGACCAAAGCCTAATATTTCTTTATCTTGAGCTATAACTTGCTTGCTGCAAATTTCTTAGCTCTGGTTCCATTTTTCCTGGGTTCTAAAGACTACATTTTATACCCTTTTGTTATTTGCTGCTCCAGGAATGGAGCAAAGAGAATGGCTATGATGAACTACATGCATATATAACCTATAAAAGGTGAACACAGAAGAGGAAAAAGGAAGATAGGAACTGCAAGAACAACACTAGACCTCAACTCAAAAGATCTGAGTTCCAGTCCTATTCTGCCGCTAATTTGCTGCATGACTGGAGCAAATTATCTCTCTAAATCTTGCCTATTACAATACATGTTAGACAAAATACGAAGTACGCTCCTAAAAATATCCATGTGTCTACAGTATCAGTTCTGGCAGACTGTGTTTATAAGTTTCTAATTGCGCCCATTTCTCCCCTATTTACTTCTTTTATGGTTCTCCATTTTCATTCAATTAAGTTTTCTAAAATTTCTATTTGGAACTATTTCTTAGGTATTGAACACCTAACTCAGTCAATTAAACTAATCTACCTAATCTGAAAGATGAAAATTATTCACCTGTTTTCTTGAGCCCCTGGCTAGGTACTAATAGAGGCTTAGAACATGCCTGATCTCATGTTTCCTCTCTCTTATCTGTTTTTCTAAACCACCATAGTCTTCTAGGATGTTATTAGATCTTTCACTAGCTTAAAAAAAAAAAACAAATAAGTTCTTACTGTTTTTATTTTTTTATAAATAAACAATGTTTACCATATTACGATGTTTTAGTTCTCAATATCATCACCTTTTGACAGAACTTGAACAGTAATTTCTTAACACCACCTTTCATATATAATACTCACGGGCTTTGCGAGAGATACCTGCCTCACAATGTTAACAATACACTTTTCTCCACATATGCTATAATGCTTAATAACACTTAACCCAATATTTCATTAAAACTCTTCAAAGAATGAAGGAAAATTACACTTTTATAGTCCTTCTAGGTGGTTCTAAAACTAGCAATAATTTCAACCAACACTAAAAATATCCTTTCTTCAAATAAATATGAATAACAATAAAACCAACTAATATTAATAAGAAAATATAAAAGTATATACTATATATACCTACCTAGCAACAGAATACATAAATAGAAAATCATTGTCTGGGGAGCCTGGAGTCTTGCTATAGTCTCTATATTTCTTCTGAGTAGTATTTTTGATGTCTTTCATTACAGATTCCATTTCTTTACTTAAGTTGGTTTCTGACTATAAAAAATACAAACAGAAATATAAAGTTTATTTATGTTCATTTTCTCTAATAATAGTCTAACACTACAATGTTTATCATTTGAACATACTAGAAAATTAAAGTTAAAAAGTCAAAACAGATGTACCTTAGCTAATTACTATAAATTCATTTAGTGCACAAAGACCGAACAGATCAAGAACTATTTTCTCTTATTTTAGGGATTTTTTTAATCCTAATTCTATATTGTGACTGGTATCTCTGTAACCCCACCATTAATTAACCACACAAACTATATTCTAATCAAATGAGCAGGTGTCATTAAAATTATATTTTAGAATAGTTCTCATATTTATAAAAATCTTGACTTTGATTTAAGTTCATTTTTCAAAGACGAATATCCCTTACTTTAAGCATATTTTAAACCCATAAAAACTTGGATTTAAAAAGAAAAAAGTCACACAGACTCTAAAATTAGTCTTCAACTGAGAAAAGGAACTGCCAAGAGATGATTCTGAGTGGCTTTAATCTATGAATTTGTTTCAAAAGTCAAATATTCATAGTTTTCATAAATTTACTAGATAAATCAGGCATAGCTGCCACTTCTCTCAAGGACTATATCATAAATCCATAATAAAGGTGAACTATTTAAGAATTTAAATCAAATAAATAAATCCTACTGGATGGGATAAGAGATGGGTGCACTTACACTAAATCTCACAGTAAAACATACTGACTTAAAGTGAATGGTTCAATTTAAGTATACACTTGTGTGTGTATATAAATCTATAATTACACATACATACACTGTGTGTATATGTCTAAATATATCATCATATTTTTTAAAGTTTTTTTAATTTTTTAAATTTTTATTATGGTGACATTGTTAACGAAATCCAGTAAGTTTCAGGTGTATGACTGAACAGTAGGGCATTGTATGTTCACCACCCATAGTTAGATTTCTTTCTGTCACCACATATTTGACCCCTGTTACCCTATCTTAATCCTAATATACCTAATGAGCATATTTTTAAATGATTAGGCTGTACTTTACACTGCAAAATACATATATATAATTTGGCCTTGTTTTTAAATATTTCAACTCTTAGAAAAAGTCTAACCATATCTAACCTTATAGACTAAGGAAAAAATATAGCTTTTGGTAATAATTTGTTCTATTATGCTCATTTCTGTTTTAATAACCACAAATAAGAGAAAAACCTCTAAAAGTAATTTCTACTAAATGTATAAAGGTTCAGAGTAATTTAGAAACGGAATGAAAACAAAAGCTGAAAAGTAGAGCTGAGTTAATCAGGATATTTCTGCCTTACACTGATGCTTACTGGGAAAGCTCCCGGTCGTCCCTGCAGCTCCTCCACCTCCTTTATGAGATCTTGTATGCTTTTGTTACTAGGACGCTGCCAAAGGTTATTTTCCACATTGCTTCCAGGATAACAAGGAAGAACACTGTTTGCAAACTGCCTACAGAGAGGACATGTGAATTCTCCTTTGTCCACTGAAAACCCCTGAAGAACCTGGTCATTCTAAAAGATGAAATAAACATACAGATGTATGATGCACACTTTTACAGAAAACAAAATTTACACCACTACATTTTATAGCAAATAAACGAATCATACAAAAAAAGACATCTCTAATATGTCATAAAAACATCTCATTTCTCATTTAACTGTTGAAGCTTATCAAATAACTTCTTACGTCATGGCAATCATGCAATAGTTGCCATAACCAATGAACTACATAAGCATCTTACTCTTCTCTCAGTATGAAATATTCAAATAATGATGTCATCAATCTGAAATGTGGATTTAAAATAAAGAATAAGTCAAAAAACAGGGCACGTTAAAGTAAATCACCTTCCTCTTACCCCTTGCCCCCGTTTTCATAATCTACTGGGCTTATTCTCTGTGTGTCCATGTTTTTTGATGTGGGCTAGACAGCTTTTAAGCATAAATTAAGCCAAAAAAAAAATGTAATGTGTCTCCTAAAGTTTCTATCTGCTGAATACAACTCATTGAACTTAATGCAGTAGGTTTATTTAGGTTTAATGGATAAGGGGGAAATTTAGAGTATTCAGAATATAAGTGCAATAAAAAGGGAATTAACACCTTCGTTCTGATAGAAAGAGGAAGAAAAAGTACAATTTTTTGAAACAATACGCATACACCTAGGAGGAAACTCTTGCTCATGAGAGACTGCAATACATGCTAACTAATCAGAGGACTTAAGACAGGAATCTGGGCTGACACATTTGTTCCCTTCTTTTGCCTGACATCGTCCCACATCTATGTTATTTTAGGACATTGCTGTTGTGTAGTCCTAACCATTATATTACTCTTTTTGCTAGCAAACTCTCTCTTATTCTGCCACTAACCTAATGCTTTATCTCAAAATGTTTTTAACACATTAATGTATATGTATGAAGGCTACAATATGACCTTTATTACTTACAAGAAAAAAATGATGAGGAAAAAAGGATACAAAGAATAAAAAAGAAATTTATTTCCTTATGGTTACAAAGGGGGTTAATGAAAATGTCAGGATGAAATCAGATTTCCTAGCTCTTAATTTAGTGCTCTAGTGTACTAGAAGGCTAGGGTAAGGATCCTGGTCATTGAAGGACATTCTGTGATAAACTTCCCTATAGCCTTAATCTTAAAGAATGTAGGTCTTCCTTACCTTGACTGAAACTAGGTTCTCTCCTGAAGCCTGCCCAGAAGCCCTCTCAATTAGGCACTGCTCATTCTCCCACATCCCTCACACCTCAGTATCTTTCTCATCTCTAGTGCTGGCTTGAGATCATTACTCTTGAATTCTCCTGTCTTTGTGGCTCATGTCATTTAACGATACCACCCTTTTCCTTCCTTTTTACTGTTATCTACTGCCCTCAAGCACTGAAGACTTTGGTACTTCATCACTCCAAGTCCTACCATCCACCTATGCAACTTCAGTGTGCATGTGGAGAACCCATCTTATAGCTTAGTCCTTGACCTCATCAGTTCCTATGGCTTTAACCTCTACTCTAACTCCAGCACTTATTACCATGACCACACCCTTGTCCTATAAGGACCCCAAATCTCCATATTTGAAAATACTAAATTCAAACACCTTAAATTCTGACAACTCCTGTCTCCTTTAGTACCTCCTTTTTGTCCCAGTTTATTGGGCCTTTCCTATCCTGCCTATACATCATAATCTACCACTTCAAAAACTCTCAAGTCAATACTTTTCGTCCCCCTCCATATGTCTTTCCATCATACATACCTAACAAAACCTTCAAAAAAATTAACCCAATGTATGATTTCTCCAATTCTGTATCAAACTGAGCGCTATTGGAGAAAACTGAAATAACTTCTACAAACCGTTTCCAATCTCAACTGAGCCTTGAATATTGCCTGGAAATCTTGCTCCAATATCCTATGAATATCTAACATCTTACCCAATTCCAAAGTAGTTTATCCAGACCGCCTCCTCACTTGTAAAGTCCCTTCACCTACCCCAGCCTTGCCCCCTTACTCTAGGAACATAAAGCTACACCTCTTTCCTCAGAAAAATGGGAGTCACGGCAGCTCCTTTAACATCCTGACTTCTCCCACCCCAAATACCTAGTTAATAAATCCCATCAGTCCTTCCACCCACTTTCTTCCTTCTAACCCACTGGCAAATATCTCCTAACCAGTCTCCCAACTATATCGCTGCCAGTATGATCTACCTAATGTGAGATTCTTATTCCCAAATTCTTTCAAGGATCACCATCGCCTCTCACCTTGATTCTTTCCTCTCTTTTATGCGCTGCATGCAATCTCTCAGAAAACCCTTCTTCTAAATATATCACATATATACATATATCATATATATATTTCAAATATCTAACCTTTTCTCTATCTCTACTGCTATGACTAAGCCCAAGCTGCCATCATCTCTTACCTCCTAAATGATATCACCACATTCTTTCTTACTCTCCTGCAATCCCACAATAATCCCCTGAGACCTACACAGCCACAATGACCTTTCTGAACATGTCATATCTCTGCTTAAGAGTCTATAATGGCTGTAACATATCTCTGTAAAAAATCTGTCTAAAGTCCAGATTCCTTAATATAAACCACAAGGCCTTTTATAATATGACCCCTTATTACTTCTCCAGTCATATTTCTCATCACTCAAGCACCTTACTTTATCAAATGTTCTGGCACTTGGCAGATACTCCAATAAGACCCTATGCATACCTCATAACACTTAGCACAAATATCACAACTGTTTATTTCTGTCTCACACAGTGCATAGTAAACTCTTTGAGTGAAGAAACTGTGTATTATTCACTGTTGTTGTCCCTAATATCTATCACAGTACCTAGAACACTACAGGATAAATATCTGTCAAATGAACGACTAAATAAAGAGGTATGAAAAATGCATAATGTGCTTAAGGAGCTACTAATTAGCTTATTAATGCTGAATTGATGGAAGATAAAGCTAAAGCAACAAGCAAGCCCAGATCATGTAGTGCCATGAATGCCATTCAGGGAAAAGTAAACTTTACCCCATTAGGAAGAAGTCAGTAAAGGATTTTTAAGCCATATGCCATTAGACTTACTTTTTAGAAAGATCAATGTAGTGATTAAATTTGACTTGCAATAAGGAAACTGATAAGAAAGCAACTATAATAGTCAAGATAAGAGATGAAAGCATACACAAAAAAAGTAGAAGTGGGAATAATAACGGCAGAATATAGTTGCGTGCAATTTACGGAGACAGAATCAATAGAATTTGATAAGTGACTGAATGTGAGAGGTAAGGAATAGGAAAGAAAAACAGAGAAATCCACTGCTTCTGAGTTAGGAATCTGGGAATAGAGTAGACCATGTATTTAAGAAGTTAGGCTCACAGAAAAAGAAAGACTGCAGGTATAGGGGAATGAATGCAAGGTCAGGGGAAGGAATTTTAAAAAGCAGATACTTTAGTGTCTTTATGAACTGAAAAGATGGGACAGACCAAGTAGAAAAACTGAAGAAATAGAAGAAAAGAGGTTACTTACTGATACATCAAGGCCTCTGAAGTGATGTAGAGAAAGAAATACTAGAGCATAAACAGATTATTCCTGAACGGAAGAAATACTATGTCAAAAAAATAGAAAAGGATTGGTTAGGATGCAAAGTCATTTATCAGGGAATAGAAAAAAAGCAAGGTAGGAAGCTAAAGTAGTATGACACAGAGAACCACTATTTTTTGGGTGACAAAGGAAGAGACAGAAATTTGATGAGAGAATAGGGATCTTGGGATTTACGCAAAGAGTGAGATAGGGGAGGCAAAGGTATAGAATAGCTGCTGAGGAGATTAGGTGAAGAAACTGATCAAAGACAGATAAATGAATTGATAAGTGATATCTACAGTCAGTGACCCTAGTCTAAGGCACTATTATAGGAAACCACAAATTTGTAGAGGTGCTGGTTTTGTTTTATGATTTTTCTAGCAGGGCTAGCTGCCTGGATCTAAGAGCAAAGTAGGTAGATTAAACGATTGGAACAAAAAAGTGAGGCTAGGTAAGAGCTAATACACTAGCAAAAAATGCAAAAATGGTTAAAGGATTGAAGATCTTGATGCCAGAAACAAAATGCACTAATAAGAGTGAAAATAAGAGAATCTGAAAAATAATCATATAAGAAAATGATATGGTAGAATAGTAAAGCTTAATATTTCTAAGCTAGAGTAGCAAAGTCTAAAATTACAGCCATGGAAGTCAGTTGCTAAAGTGGAGTTAAAAAATAAAACCCCTAATGTTGAAGTGAAGGAACTGTGAGGCTGGGTAGTAAAAATGATGATCAAAATCACCCACAGTGAATTAGGATGTATTTGCTGTAAAAAATATTAAAACTGGGAAAGATATACACACTTTTAAAAATTATTCAATTAACTTACCCGTAATGATTCCATGTAAGATTTATGACAATCTATATGTAATGTGTGGCCACAGGTTTGTACATAAACACCTCCTTCCCAGCCAATTGATACTGCCAAAAGACAAGAACTCTTAAAAAAAAAAAAAAAAAAAAAGACAAAATACAATTAATTTTAAATAAGTATAAATGTACCTACATATCTAAATATATCAACATTAGCCTTTGAATGATTTCACACTGTGATACTAATATGAACTTTTATTTTTGTGACATAAAGTAACACCTGACGTGATAGTCCTAAGGCAATGCCATTAAACTAGAAACACCATAAAGTTTTAGCTTCCAAATATCTATGCTCATAATGAAAGAGAATAATTATGAATTAGCCTTTCTCTACCCCATAAAATACAAGCTCTCAATACAATTCTATAGCTCAGTATTAACTATACTGCTGTTGTTTATTTTATATAGTACTTAAGCTCTCTGTGATATGTGACATTCACAACTTCCTTCTTAAAGTGCCTACTTCCCTAATGCAACTCTTTTGGATTTTGTCTCATCTCTTTAACCATTTGGTTTAGGCCTCCTTTTTAAAGACTTCTTTCTTCACCTGCCTCTTCAATGTTTATATACCTCAAGATTCTATTCTTAGTGCTACTCTCTTCTCATTAATAAAACTATTCTGAGCAATTTAATCTGTAAATTCAACTATCCTCCAAACCTGGATCTCTTGCCTGACTGACATACAAACATTTAGCTGCCAACCAGAAATCTCCAGTTTGACGTCTCTCAGATAACATAAAATCAATGTGTCAAAAACGTGTCATTTTCTCCATGAACCTTCCTTTTCCTTCTGATTTAAACACTCCACAATCTATTTAGTCACCAAGTCGAGAAAGCTCAGAGTCATTCCATATCACACCCTTTCCTTCACATCACAGTTTTAGTTTTCAAATCATACAAATTCTATCTACTAAATAACTCATTTGGGCCTCTTCTCTTCATCACCACTATAATATTCTAGATTGTATCATTTGTTGTGGAGAAGGGAGTTCTTTTTTTCTTTTTTTTTTTTTAATACCAATAAGTCAAGAGCTTTATTGATGCAGCAGGCCCTTTACAATGAACCCGAGAGTCCACCTTCTCTGGGAGGATGGGATGTCTGTACAAACCCTCGGGGTTTTCCACTTCAAAAACACAAGCTAAGCTCTCCCTTTCACTACAGTGGAAGAAGGTTCTTATATAAAGTATCCTAATTGGTCTCCTTAACTCTAATTTCTTCTCTCCATGATATACATCTTCCACGTATCTCTCTAAAGTACAAATTTGGTCATAAGAATAACCCAAAAAAGTGCCTTACTATTTACAAGAGTTTAATATAATACACAATAAAGGAAACATTATATAAGCCAACTACATACTCATTTGAAATTTGTTTTAAAAGTTAATTGCTTCTATCTCCTCTTTTACATTTTCAACTTCTCTGCTAATTGCTTCAACTTATAAACAGGCTTAGATTTTCCTCCCCTAAAGTAATTTTCTTTGAGTTTTCATTTGGCCTCTGTCAAACAGCACTTGGGCGTAAACTTGAGTTTACTGTCAGGAGTCTATAGTTAATAGATGGCTGACTCACATCAGTATCAGGCATAAGCTGTAACATGAGTGACAGCATACAATGAAAGATTTGAAAGCTATAAAAACTGAGTAATCTTTTTATTTTTATATTCGAAAGAAATTTATACATTACAATGAAAAATGAACAAATCATCTTTAAACAATAGTAAACAAAGTTCCAATATTAAATCACGATTCATCAGCATCTGAAAGTTTAAAATATTGCAGTGCAAAAAGTCTTCCCAGAAGATTTAAATATGTGCAGCAGCACAAATCAAATACTTGTAGCAAGTGAGCCAGCTTCTACTGTTACAAATCAGAAAAACAACAGGAGACCTGCTCATCGCTGTTTACCATTCGGAGCCACTTAATGTAGAAGCAGATTTTGATATTAATTAGATAATTTTAGAATGTTTAGTAGTCAGCTAATAAACAAGCTGCTCTCTTTGGCAATATATTATAAAAATGTAATTAATCTTTCTTTTTAAATAAAATCAGTTAGCTTTTAAAACCGAAAATAGTCACTTGTTAATATAACTGTTAGACATCTTATTTGAATCTGCTGGAGTGAAAAAAAGCAGGAAACGATTTACTAATGTAAGACTAATAATTTAGGAAGACTTAAGACTTCAGTGGTGTTCCCTCCACTGTGCTAAGTGCTTAACATTGAATCTTCACAACCTCAATATTTGTTAAAACCTCACATAGTAAGTGTTGTTATCCCTTTCACAAAAAAAAAGAAAAATTTACCTCGATCACTCAGTTATAAGAGGTAGAGCCCAAGTTCAAACCCAAGTCTATCAGACTCCAAAGCTCACGCTCCTTCCCCCACTGTGTCTTATCTCTCATATATCATGCTTCCAGTTTCAACAGTAACTGTACTGTCTTACATTACTAAAATTATACATGTCAACTCTCTGAATATGCATGCATTAATTTTATAATCAGTATCAGTGCCTACTGATAGTAATTCTTCTCTATACAGTCTGTCTAGCTACCAAACTGGTATACTTTGCTAGAGTAACTCAGTTAGAAATCAGTAAGCATCTACAGCATGTACCAGTCCCTCAGGGGACTATAAAACCAATATAAGAAATGGCACAGTCCAGGGTGCATACCATATATGCTTAAAATAACCATTATGAAAGTACACAAAAGTATTAATATAGGAATAAAATCTCACAATCAGAAACACAACAGATATTAGTCCAGTTTAGATTTTAGTTCAGAGCCTTTTAATAAAAAACAAGAATTTTTTTAAAAAACAAATAACTATTCTGGCTGCAGGTAATAAATATCCTGCTTTTTCTCTCCTTTATTAGATCTACCCTTCCCTCAAAATTATTTTGCTCTTTTGGGTCTGGTTTATATTTTGATTGAATCAAGTCATTTTTCTTTTCTGTTTGGCTTTAGGATCAATCGTTACTCATCTACTCTAAAGTGATTCAAACTGATGAAATTAAAACCAAGTATGGCAAGAAAACAAAATCTAAAGAAAAGTGGTAGTAAATGTCTGCAAAAGCAGAACACAATTTCAACATTTTCTTCAAAAATGAAAATAGTTATCAAAGTCTCATTAATACTGTAATATATACACGCTGCAAAAAATTCAAAGAAATAATAAAAAGTACGAGTCTGTATGTGTATATACATGCATATACACACACAGATGCTTCTTTTTCCAAATAATGATAATTTCATTTTAAAGCCTCTAAAAATATATGGAAGTATGCTCATTACCTAACCCAACCTACCTTATAAAGCCTAACACCTGAGCCCTCCTAAGTGGGCTAGCTTGAATATTAAAAACATCGCTTTATATTTATACCAAACTTTATTATATGTAAAGTTATCTAGAGAAATTTCCAACCTGCTGGGTTAAAAATTACTACATGAAAGATCATTATGATCCCTATTTTAACAGATGAGGAAATTGAGTCTTAGAATGTTTTATTTGGCCAAGCTTACATTATTAAGAAATGGCAGAATCAGGACCAAACTTGTTTTCTGATCTGGGATTCTGTCTATGATACATGACACCTCCCTAATTAGAGCCACCATCTCCTCCAGAATCCACTAGAAACTTTCTCCTCAGACCAGACTACTGAACCACACTCTACTCTGATTCTTACCATCACTAGGTCAGTTATTGTTTATTCTAATTAAGTATTCTGTCTTCCATTTTATTGGAAGTTTCTTCCATTTAATCCAGTGCATCATGCACAAGAAAAAATTGTATTTGGAAATCTATCAAAATAATCATCTCATATAGTTAAAATAATGCTTCACTTTAAATTTTAAGTAATTTAAATTATTATCATACATTTACTTAACTCAAGATACAACATCCAAAAAACAACCAGTGAAAGGAAACCCCTTCTAATAAGCTATTCAGGAAATATTAAAAATGGTATAAAAATTTTATAAAGAAATTAACAATGATGTTGCTACTAAAGAAATAAAACTTATCTTTTAAGACTTTTGATACCTGAATGCTAAAGCCCCTAGGTACAAAAAGCTGGAAAAAATCTATTAAGTTCACAAGAAACCACAGAAGTCACAAATTAAGCCTGCCTCCACTTTACATTTAAAAAGCATTGTAATGAGATTTTATTGTATATCTTTAAAGTAAAAGGAGGCAAAAATCTTCATAAAATATTCATGCAATATCTAAAAGTTTTCAGAGGTTATACTTATATCCACTGAATTGAATTTGTATACATCACAATAAACAACATTTAAAATAAAGGTATAACATTTATAACCTGAAATTTTTACTTATTAACAGATTTCCATTTCTTTACTACCCACATATGAATATTTTTTTCTAAAAAACTTTCAGATTGCAAATGAGAATGACATTTGGTAGAAGAAAAAATATCAAATAAGACTCTGAAAGGAAATAATTATCAACTTTGCAGACAAAAAATTCTATTTGATAAAAAGGGTACTTACATCCTTAAAATAACGCTGTAATAATGAAAGCCTCACATCGTGAACTGCTGCACATGTATCCCAAGGGTAAATCTGCTCCTCTTCAGTGATAGGCAACTTTTTTGGCTCAATGTTGTCACGGCACTGCCCCAAAACTATATTGACGTGGCCAACAGAAATATGAAAAGATGCTCAACATTACTAATCATCAGAGAAATGCAAACTAAAACCACAATGAGATAATACTTCACACCTGTCAGAATGGCTATCATCAATAAATCAAAAAAACAAGTGTTGGCGAGGATGTGGAGCAAAGGGAGCTATCTTGCACTGTTGGTGAGACTGCAAACTGGTACAGCCACTATAGAAAATAGTTTAGAAGTTCCTCAAAAAATTAAAAATAGGACTACCTTATGACCCAGCAATTCCACTTCTGGGTATTTATCCAAGAAATCCAAAACACAAATTCGAAATATATATGCACCCCTATGTTCTTCACTGCAGCACTATTTACAACAGCCAAACAATGGAAGCAACCTAAGTGCCCATTGACAGATGACTAGATAAAGAAGTTGTGGTACATATATACAATGAAATATTACTCAGCCATAAAAAAAAAAAAAAAAAAAGAACAAAATCTTACCATTTGTGACAACATGGATGAATCTAGACAATATGCTAAATGAAACAGATCAGACAAAGAAAGACAAATACCACATGAGCTCACTTTTATGTGGAATCTAGAGAACAAAATAAACCAACAAGCGAAACAGAAATAGACTCAGAGATAAAGAGAATTGATGACTGTTAAATGGGAGAGTGTTTGGAGGACTGGGTAAAAAAATGAAGGGATTAAGAAGTACAAATTGGTAGTTACGGGGATGTAATGTACAGCATAGAGAATATAGTCAATAATCCTGTAATAACTAAGTATAGTTCCAGACAGTTAATAATCAGCGGAGGGATCACTTTGTGAATTATATAAATGTCTAACCACCATGCTGTACACCTGAAACTAATATAAAATAACACTGAATGTCAACTTTAATTGAAAAATATATTTCCTTTGAGAAATGAAAAAAAAAAACCTCTATATTTATAAACAGAGATAAGAGCTCATTAAATAACCAATACATAGACCTGATTTTCACCAAGAAAAGCTGAGTTATGTACCACTAGCTACACTAATTTTTTCACTATTAGAATATTTTCAAAGACCAAAAAAAAGTAGTATTCTAGTTGTCTTCTACAGAGTAAACAAAGTTTCAAATATGCCAGTATTTATTTTTTAAAATAACACTAAAATGTGAATATGAACTCTGGATGGATGGATCAACAGATTGATGGGTCAGTGTGGAGGCATAGCATCAAGAGCTCATTCATCAAAAGCTTGACCTTCTACTTAAAGAAAATGGGCAAACACCTGGATTATCTCAACCTGAAAGGGGCCAAGGTGACCATGGAGCAACTCTCTGAGCTAGCTCTAATGCCATACTCTCATTCCTTAAGTAGCTCAGAGAGTTCTCAACTCTCAACTCTCTGAGCTACTTAAGGAATGAGAGTATGGCATCAGAGCTCAACATCAAGGACTTCTTCAGCCAACACCTCGCTGTCTACTGCAGCTCTGAGTTCAACAAGACCATGGCCATGTTCCGCAACTTGGTGTCCCTGACCCTCAAGTACGACTGCATCTCTGATGAGCTGCTCAAGGACTTGTGTGAGAACAATTCCAGTACCCTCCAGACCATAAATATCAAATGCCACGTTCATGACCCCCACGGGCAGGTCATCTGGGGCATGTCTTGGGCCAAGCTGGCCAGGCACACCACCAACTTGAAGGTCAATTTCTTCTTTGAGCGAGTCATGAAGTATGAGCAAGTCATGAAGTATGAGCACTTGGTCCGGATTCTCTTGCAGGAGATCCCAAGCAGGAGCATCAGTCTGAGAGGCTGCTATTTCAGTGAACCAGACTGGTCCATGCGGCCCACTCTGCTGGATCTCCTGCCCATCTTCCGGCAGACTCTGCAGGTAGGTATGACCTGACGGTGGGAGTCTTTCAAGGAGTGACTGGATCAACAGATTGATGGATGGATGGATTGAAAGATGGAGGCTGTTTTCCAAAATCTGTCCACTGTAAAAGCCTACAAGTTATGACTCTCCAGTATCAATAAACTTCATTTCTAAATATACTACTTCTTACGACATGGAAACACAGAGGTCTTTGAAGAATAACCTGAGTCCAGGGTTGGAGAAAAGTGCAAAGTTGGCCTGGAATTGTGGGTAATAAAAAGCAAAGGGTAATTCAAACACTGAGGGCCTAAAGGAGTTCTGACCAGCCAAATTTGAGAAAATTGAGTATTGAAAAGAATAAGTAATGGTAACAGACAACACAATCAATGATTCAGGCAAGGAACATTAAGGAAAAAGGTAAATTGTTAGAGTCTCAATGTATTATCCTATAGATTACCTACCATCTTACCCAAGTGATCAAACTTCGCTGGCATCACAGATAATAGGACAAGTGATACCATTATTCTACAGAACTGGACTCTTTAAAACTTTTTAAAGGGGTTGAAGAAACTGTTCCAGATTCAAGAAGACTTATAAGAAATGACAACTAAATGCAATGCTTGGTCTTTGCTTGGCTCTTAGATCAGGGAAAAAAAAATGCTATAAAAATATTGAGACAATTGAGAGAATTTGGAATATAGAATATTAGATGTTCTTGATATTAAATGCCTTGGGGTATGATAATGATACTGTGGTTATATAAAAGAATATCCTTGTTCTTAGAAGATACAGTCTGAAGTATTTAGGGATAAAATGTCATGATGTCTGCCATTTTCTTCTGGAGAGAGAGAAAGGGAGGGAGGAAGGGAGGAAGAATGTGTGTGTAGATTAGAGATAAAGAAAAATATGACATTATGTTAACTATTGGTAAGTCTAGGTAAAGGGTATTCAACTTTTCTGTAGATATAGAACTTTTCAAAAAAAAAAGTTGGGAAAAGAGGTATATGGCAAAAGGGGATAAAACAAATACTAAGATTTTTATTATTGTAAAACATCAAAGCACAAAAAAAGGGAGTGAAGATATTAACATACAGTGCCATATATTACCATAAAACTCAATAAGCATGGGAAGAGCCAATCTTAGGGAAGGGAATATCAGGCATATCATTGTGGGCCTCCGGTTTTGAAGAGATTTATAGCAGTAGCAGAAAGAAGAGATAGAAGAAGGTAAATGCTAGCAACTAGAATATAATTAGCCATGATGTGTAATCCTCTTAATACACTGCTGGATTTGCTTTGCTAAGATTCTGTGATGTCTTTATCTGGCTTTTGTATCAGGGTAATGCTGGCCTCTTGAATGAGCTATGAAGTATTCCTTCTTTTTTTTATTTTTCTTTTGACAAATTTGAGATGAACTGGTGTTAATTATTTAATGTTTGGTAGAATAACCAGTGAAGCTATCTGGTCCTTGGCTTTTATTTGTTAAGATGTTTTGGATTACTGATTTAATCTCTTTACTTGTTTAAGGTCTGCTTGAATTTTCTACTTTTTGAGTTGGTTTTGGTAGCTTGTTTTTAGGAACTTACCCATTTTATCTAGGACACTGAATTTACTGACATAAAATTGTCATATTCTCTTAAAGTCTTTTATTTCTTTAAGGTCTATTGTAATGTCACCACTTTCATTTCTGATTTTAGTTATTTATGTGTTTTTTTCTTGGTAAGTCTAGCTAAAAAAATTTGTCAATTCTAATGACATTTTCAAGGAACCAACTCTTGGCTCTTCTGATTCTATTGTTTTTCTATTCTGTATTTCATTTATTTCTGCTCTAATCTTTATTTCTTTCCATCTGCTAGCTTTGGGTTTAGCTTGCTCTTATTTTTCTAGGTCCTAAAAGTATAAAGGTAGGTTATTGATTTGAGATCTTCTTTTCTCATGTAAGCATTTGCAGCTATAGATTTTCCTCTGTGTACTGTTTTTCACTCCCCCACGTAAATTTTGGTACATAGTGTTTTCATTTTCATTTATTTCAAAATATCTTCTATATTCATTTGTCATTTCTTCTTTGACCCATTGGTTGTTTAAGAATGTGTTACTTAACTTCCAAATATTTATGAATTTTTGAGTTTTCCTTCTGATAAGGATTTCTAGTTTCATTCCTTGTGGTTGGAGAAGATACTCTGGGTGATTTCAATCTTTTTAAACGTATTGAGACTTGTTTTATGGTCTATTTCGGAGAATGTCCCATGTACAATCTAAAAAAAAAATGTGTATTCTATTGTTATTGGATAGAGTGTTCTATATAAGTTTTTTAGGTTTGTTTTATAGTGTTGCTCAAGTATTTTATTTATTTACTTATTTACTTATTTTGATCTTACTGGGGCATTGAGGTCTCCAACTATGATTGTAAAACTATTTCTCCCTCCAATTCTGTCAATTTTTGCTTCATATATTTTGAGTCTCTGTTGTTTGGTGCATATGTTTATAACTGTTATATCTTCTAACCCTAACCCTACTTCAAAATACTTCAGTTCAGGAGAGGATGGAGAGCATTCAGACAAATTGTTCAAATTTAAAAAAAAAAAAAAAAATTAACTACAGATTGGCAAACATATCAATCAACAAGCTGCTTCAAGAATGACTGCTTCTAGTAGAGCTCAAAATATAAAGGCAAAGCTACCGAAAATGCCTTATATAGTTAAAATATTTAAGCTGACAATATTTCTGGGCTTAAAATACTTTGAGATTTTAGAACAATTAAATGGCCAAGAACACTGTACTCAGTAACTGACCACCTAACGCTAGTGATACCACATTTTAAGGGAAAAGGTTATGTAACATATAGAAAGATCTCTCTGTTAAGGGCTTCTTCCAACACTCAAGTCCAGGAAAGTGAGATAAAATCAGATTAAGAATCTTTGATATAAATTGTCCTTGCTATACAGATCTACAGTTATATCTAGACAAAGATTTAACTTTCATTCAATACTGATACTTATTAATCTGTTGTATATATTTTGTCTCTAAAATGTTCCAACTGAAAAATTACTTTGATTTTACCTGAAGATGCTTGCAACAGTACAACCAATCCTGTAGGTCGGTCTTCAGAGGAGGGGCCACTCTGTCCACAAATAACACAATCATATACTGCCTCAGAAACCTGTGGTTCTGCTGTGGTGATCTCCATAGGAATATCTGTCTCAGGAGAATCTGAGGAGAAAATTTTCTCTTCAATGAAAATGTGAAAAAAAAAAAAATTTCAGATAATTTTGAGCTTCGATACCAATAAAGTTACATAGTAATAAAATTATGGAAAAAATATCTTGCTGAAATAAAATATTTACTCAGAAAAAGACAAAAAATATAGAGTTGATATAATGAAAGACTTTAAATAATATTTGGTTAAAAACACTTCTGACGTTATATAATTCACATATAAAACTGGAAGGAAAAACACAAAAGCAAAGATATTTGCATCAAAAAAAAGCCTTTAAAATATTATAATTTAAGAAAATAAGGTGGAAATTATTTGTTTTAATTTTCTTTGAGGCACCTCAGAAGGGAAATTTGTAACAACATTATAGCTCTTGGAAAGAAATGGCAATATTTACTACTAGGATAAAAGAGAAACAAACTATTTCTCTTTTATTTTCAATTCTAGTGAAAATAAAAGCAGTAATTATCAATGTATTTGTTTATTCGAGGAAATCATATAGATATGACCATTATATTAATAAAGTAGAACTACCATAAAAAATAACAATAACCCCCTGGTGATATGATGTCATTAACAGCAGGAAATAAAATAGTGAGTCGATAACAATTCTCAGATCAAGACTCTTAAATTCATGAAGATCAGTGATATTGTCCATAGTGGCAAAGAAATAGGCAGAGAGAATTAAGGAAGATCAGGGAAGCAGGAATAATTAATGATTTGTTTAAAAGATGAAGACATATCTTAATAAATATGTAAAACTACATGACAAAAAGAGAAAAGATGTCAAGTTTAGATGTTTTAATAAGAATTCATGCAGATAAACATATATCTGTTATTAAGAGTAACTGAGAGGAAACGGACAGAAACCTAAAATAGAACTTTGGATAATGCCCAGCATTAATAAAAAACAAACAAAAAGAAGCCAATAAGGAAATCAGAGAAAAAACAATACATGAATAGAATCAGAACCAGAAAGCTCATTGTCTATGAAAATAAGATTAATGGGTCAAAATGAAAAGATTTCAAAAGAAAGTACCAAAGGCCAGTAAGATCTGATATGTGATTACTGTTTTTTTAGGAAGAAAATTTTAGTACAGAAAAGAGGGGATGTTTCTGATTGCTCTCAAGTTCAAAGGAGAATAGAGAAATACCTGACTTAAAGTGATGTGAAATAATTCAGTCTCACAGTAAGTGCCAAAGAACTAGAATTTCATTAACTCTACCTCACATACAAAGACAGCTTTCCTTTTTTTATGTCTTGGTACAATCAACTTGAAAACTTCAAGGAAATCCTAATACCAAAATACGATATCAAAGAGGCTGCTAAGTCATCTTTTCTAGAGTTTTTAAAAGTAAGGCTTGATAATCTTCGACAGTGAAACAGTGCTAAAACCATGAAAATAAAACATATGACCTTCTTTCATTTTCCTTCAAAGGGAACAAAGTCCACAACTGTGCAGCTAAAGACATAACCAATGTCCTTTTTTATAATAAGAGAAATCATTAATTAAAACTAGATCACAATACCACTTCTTTCATCTATTAGTAAAAACGCACAAGTTTGAGAATATATTCTAATGAAAAGGATATAGGGTAACTGATACTTTTACACACTGTTGATGGGAATACGAAACAATACAGCCCCTGTGAAAGTAATCTGGCAATATACAGCAAAATTACATATGTATTTATTCTTTGACCCACCAGTCCCACCTCTAAAAATCTCTTACAGATATATTATCAAAATACAAAAAGACACATGCACAAGAATATTCATTATGATACTAGTTGTATAGCAAAAGACTGAAACAAATAAACTGTCCAATAATAGAAAATCATTTGAATATGGAAAAATGGAAAAATCTACAAAAGGGAATACTAAATGGCTAGAAAAAGGAATAAAGACTATATCTATACACTGCATGGTGGAATCTCCAGGTCATAACGTTAAATGAAAAAAGCAAGGTAGTAAAAGTGTACATAGTATATTATCATTTACCTAAGAAAGGGACACAAGCATTTTTATACCTCAATATTTTACATGTATATAAATATATTTATATCACCAACCCCCTTCTTACATAAATGATAGCACACATACATAGTTAAAAAATAAGAGGATAAACCTCAAATTAAACTGTATTAGTAAATAAAATAAACAGCTCCCTCCACAACAACAATAAAAATCAACGAAATTCTGATCTGTGCCAGCTGTTATCTTTATGCCTTGTGCCTGAATCATTCAATCCATCAATCAATCATCAGGTCTGTTAATTCTTACTTTACAACCATTCTCATATCTATTCCTTTCTATCCTATCCCCAGGCTACCAACAGAATGTGTTTAGCATATTGCTAGATACACAGTTAACACACAAAAATATATATCTCTTCATCATCATCCCCCAAAATTCATACTCTCAGAAGATCCAAAATTTACACCAAAAAAATTATTGCTTATTCAATATTTATAATAAAGTTAGAAAAAAAACTAAAGTCCAATTATGTGGGACTGATTAAGAAAATTATAGAAAATGATAATATTAACAGCCAATGCTTATCAACTTATTATGTGCCAAGCATTCTGTTCTAAGTGTTTTAAATGTACTAATACCTTCCATCTTCATAACAACTCTATGAGGTAGGTAGTATAGTAGGTGCTCACTCAAAACTGTCGAAAGATTCTGTGACTTTTAAGTGGAATGACATATAATGAAACCAATTTTACCATAGGCTAATTAATATAAACAAGAGTTAAGTTCCTATGGAATCTCATCAGCGTTATAAGGAAATACTGTTGAACGAAATGATGTTATCTCAGGACCTGCTTGATAATAATCCCTTTTTAACTATGTGGAAACCGATGTAACAAGAGGTTAATTACTCCAGGCAATGGAGTGGTTGAAATACAAACCTTAGGCAGTCAGGCTCCAGAGTCCATGCTCATAACCACTATACCATGCTACCTCTCTAATGAAGTACAGCCTCTCTCAAACTTATAGTTACCAGGAGTTTTAATAATAATAATATAGGGATATTTTTATGTTAAAATATTGAGTAAAAAGGTATGATACAAAATTGTTACTATACAGTACCATCAGTAATATACATGTTTTTTGGATGGTGAGATTAGAGATAAAGTTTGTCCCTTCTTTATGTTTTTCTGTACTGTATATTTCTCTGATTAAAATGTAGTATGTTTAAGATCACCAAATAATTTCCAAAATAAATTCTTACTCTATATTAAGCATCTTAACTAGCACTTGGAACTCCATTCTGCTGCATTTCAGCCCTATCTATCTGATAAACTTAAATGGATCAAGGTTATAATTTAACATCTTGACTCCTATACCTAGATGGTTAGTGAAAATAAATAATGGGGATTAGTGATCAAGAGAAAATTATGGAAAGAAATGCAGAGGTGAGTCTCTTCACATAGGAAACCTGATAACTACAGAAAGGCATTAAACAGATAAGTAAGTTCTAATCACAGAGCAGAAATCTGTTGCATTCAGAGAGAAAAGCTTTTGTCCTTAAATTTTCATCTAATAATGGACTGTATTTGATTAGAAAATTTGTAAAGTACTGTGTGTTATAAATTTGAAATATTCTGAATGTTGTATTACCAGACTAAAAATTTTAGGAGAGCATCCGTCATACATAAAGATAAATACGATAAAGATAAAGGAAAAATAAGAAACAAGTACAGAATATTTACATTGCTACAACGCAGATAGGAATAAGGCAAGAAGACAAAAGGAATCTGACAAATGAAGCAGAGATTGGACTAAGATTAAATTGTATCTTTACTACTGCCAGGTAGTATATTTCATGTGTGGGCCCGGTTTCATGTGTTAATAATATTATAATACATAATGTCACATGCAAATGAAGCAAAAAGTTGTCAGAGGTAGAGAGACATGTGACTGCAATTTTTATCTTGAGCAATGGATGAAAATGGAGTTTCAGATGGATTTCCGGGGTCAAATAGATCTCTTTGGGAAGGGACTGAGTTATAAAGAAAAGAAATATACAAATCTGAATGGTTCAGGATCCCACTGGCATGTCCATGAATAACATAAATAAACCAAGTGCTCATGAATCTATATTACCTCGCCTGTCACCAGTGCAGCATGCAAAAACCAGGACTGGGAGAGAGTGGAGTTCATTATCCTGATAGTTTCTATGAATTATTTGCCTTTGCTAGAAATCATGTCTGCCTGATCCCTCAATTGTTCTTCCTGTACCCTGGCTACTGCCAAAAAAGGTCATACCTTCCAAAAGGTAGTAAGATTTAGAAGAGGGAGTCAATAACTTTGCAGACTAATGACATTCAAATTTATAATCTTGAATATAACAGATCCTTAAGGATTGTTTATCAATCTTTATACTTAGCCTTGATGAACAACATCTCCCACTCTCTTCAGCACCTATTCCAAACCTCTGGTGGCATTCTTTTCACTTAACTCCGAAAACTAAGGCAACCAAGTGATCACCTGAACTTCCCATTTCCCTTATGCTCGGTGGAACTTACCTCTGTCTCCATCTACTCTTTCCTCCTTCCCTCCAGTCTCCTCAGGAAATGAGGTGGTCATTCTCCTATTCAAGACAACACTAGCTAACCAACTAGGTATTCTCTGCTTAACCAATTCCTCAGAAACTGTTTTCATTTTATCTCACTTGAGATTGGGAAACAATATGTAGAAACAATTTCTAAAAGTATTATTAACTAAGCTTTTTTTAAAGTTCTTAAAGTTGCAAACAAATAAACCAAGAGGTACATCAAACTGGTTATATTACCTCCCCAAAACAGGATTGCTCTCAAGTGACTTCAGAACACAGAACTTTGACTCTATACCCTTAGCGGAATATATTGAAGGACAAAATGTTATCTAAACAATTTTAATTTTTTAAAATTTAGTTCGATAATTTGATTGTTGAACATAATATCAAGGTTAGCATTATAAAGCTATTTATTTTGTAGGAAAAAGTAATTTTATTATGTATAATATATTGTGGTTGAATAAGAGAATATTCTCAATCCTAGGACAAGAATGCTGAAATATCTGAGTAAAGTGATGTGATGGTCTATAACATACTCCATTAATAGAGAGACAGAAAATGAGAGAGCATGAGAATAAAAAAAAAAATTAATTAGATGAAGGTTATATTGGTATAGGGAATTTATAATACTATTTCTTTAGCTTTTCTGTATGTTTGAAATTTTATCTAAGAAAAAAATTGCATGGGCGAAATTATCTCATTTTGGTTTTTTAAAAAAGCATTTGTATGCATATATACTTAGAAAAAGATTTGTAAGGATACAGCCTAGGTTAGGAAATCTGGTAGTAAAAATATATTATTTTGTTATTTTGATTATATGTGTTTTCTAAGTTTCTATAATAAAAATTAATGCTTTTATAATAGAAATTTTAACTTTATACTTTATACTAATAAATATTGGTAAGAATATAATTCAAGATTACAGACTAAACACAGGTTTTTGTCTCATGTTTTTAAAAATCACTGAAATAAAAGTAAAGGAATAATGAAAAATTATTCCCATAAGAATATAGAAAAAGGATGAAGTTGTAAAAGAGAATTTCACCAACTAACATATAAAAGATGTCAATTAAATTCCTAAACGATCGGAGGAGATGGAGACATGCTGACAGATGACACATGAAAGAAAACCACAAAAGCTGCAACCACTTGTATATTATGAGAAAGTTACAGAAAAGGAAAAATTGATCTGTCCATTAGAATCAGTCAGTGATGCAAAAGTCAGAAGTCATAAGTATGAAAAGATTCTGACAACAGAATAATTAACAGAAGGACTATATACAGAACTCATCACTCAGCACCCAAATTCCCCCCTCAACCTTAACTGAACCTTGACTGAACTTGCTCAGTTTTCTTGGCACTTCCCTCAGGACAGAAAGTAGTAAAAGAAGTAGAAAAAAGGATAAGTAGTGTCAATGAACTAAATCTTCATCTTTTGTATAAAGTCAACTGATACTAAATGAATCCAATAAACACAATTTAAGAATTCTTTATATCAAAGTTATATCCTGAACATAAACTCCACCATTGATAGTTTAAAAGACACTATGCTAAATCTGGACTGGCACTCTCTCCATATTTCTTCCAGACATTGATTATGTGTGCTTAAATGCACAAAAGTGCAAAAGAAGGTATAGCATATTTGAATGCACATATGTGTATATATTTCAACTAAACACTTAAGTATGGCTTAAGTTTATTTTCTTTCACCATATTTGTCTAAAAAAATCACTGGAATGCAAGAATTGGTCAAGGAAGGGAGTATGCTGGTTAACTAAAGACTGAGATTAATTGAGATTTAATCTATTTCTACAATCTTTGTAAAAGATTACAAATAGTAATCTACCATCATACAGGAAAATGACAATGCCTCTCATACAAATACTAATACTAATTGTAATGAAGTGAGAAGTGAATTGATTTAAAAAAATACTGAAGGGGTGGCAGGAGGAAGCACTAAAAGTATTTGAAAACTATTCTCAAAGATCTTAGGATAATTTCACAGGAAAAAAAGAACAGAATAAGTAAATGCATATTGGTGAACCTCACAAATCTAAAGGGCAGTTTAACAGAAGAGAACAGAGGGAAGATACTGTATTGCTACCATCAGGAAGAACTTTCTAACAACTGCAGCTACTCAAAAACAATGCACTGCCTGTAATAAAGGTCTGATCTTCCATCGTTCTATTGTTTAAATAAAGACCACAAATCATCTGTCTAGACTAGATAATCACTAAGGTACTAACTGAAATTATGAGAGTCCTAAACTAATAAATTTTAACTTACCAACATCCATTGCAGTTTCCATGAAGCTTTTCTGTCGTGAAGCAAACTCTGCAAGCAATTTCTGCTGCCTCTCTCTAGCCTTTTGTCGCCTAGATTAAACAGAAATAAAGTGATAAGCACCAGACATGCTAAAGACTTATCTGCTATCTTTCAGGAGTATGTAATGTATGAAAAGGCCTTGGCACACAGCTAGAACAACCTATTTTCTGAATTATGTCTTAAATTTCATGTAAGATTGTCCTTAAACGTATTCCACTGCTTTAAATTGGTTTGAAAATCAATGGCTTAAATAGATAAAAGTAAAACCCAAGATTTATTTTAAAACATAAAATAATAATTAAAGGAGAAAATTTGAATTTCCAACAACACAATTTCTTACGAATATCTCAGGTGATAGCAAAAACAAAAAGAGTCTTTTTAGCAAGGAATTCACAATTTAGCCCCAAGTACAAACAATAGCAAACTGGTTGCTAAAAGAAGCTATGATGCTTAGATATGAACAGAATCTAAATGACAACAGTCAGATTTACTCTTAGCTTAAGAAGAGGTCTCTCCTAATAGAGAATGAATAGAAGCCAGGAAGTTTCCCAGTTTCTACTAGGAAATATTCCAAATTTAGTTTATTTTGTTTGAAGTAAAGAATATAAAAAGAGTCTCGAATATAACAAAGAATAAAACTCTATTCCAAATCTAAGTATGACTACTCCTTTGGATTAATTCACTATATTCTACTTAGCTTAAGAAGAGGTCTCTCCTAATAGAGAATGAATAGAAGCCAGGAAGTTTCCCAGTTTCTACTAGGAAATATTCCAAATTTAGTTTATTTTGTTTGAAGTAAAGAATATAAAAAGAGTCTCGAATATAACAAAGAATAAAACTCTATTCCAAATCTAAGTATGACTACTCCTTTGGATTAATTCACTATATTCTATTTATATTTTTTTTTATTTTTATTTTTTAGAAGAAGGAGAGTTTATTAGGCCGGCGGAACACGTGAGGCTCTAGACAGCACAAAAGGCACGAGCTCCATCTATTTATTATTTATCCCTTATCTACTTCCAAAGAGTATTTTAATTTGATGTTGGTTGAAAAAATAAAAACAAAAACAATGTAACAGGACTACAACATAAAAATAAAAAAATAAAAGTAAACCAATAAAGAAAAGAAACAGGCTTCCCTAGATTTGGGGATGCTAATAATACTAGTGAGTATAAATTTTTACCCTTGTTAAAATAAAACAAGAGGGGAGAGGGAGGAAGAAGAAAAATAAAAAGGTTAAAAGGTGAGTTATATATTAGCTCATTGGGAAAAACAAACTTTTTACCTGAACGAAACTCAAAAAGAAATTTATCACAGCCCATAATACAATGGACACTAAAAACATAATGGATAGAGTATACTACAGCAGTTTCTTTAAATGACCATTTATTATAGCTATATACTATAAAAGTCAAAGCATTTTACTAAACTGAGATTTTATGAAATCATTTCTATGGAAAATCTAAAAAAATTATCCTATTAATGTGAAATAATTCAAGAATATAGAATATAGAATTTAGAAGAATGGAATGATAAAGGTGATTTTCAGATTATTCACATATCCGCTCACATCCAATTACTGGAGATAATCACAAACATCTATAAAGTCAAGTAGTGTGGTCCACATTACCATGAGAAGGTATATATTTTTGCTAATAATATTCAAAATTGTTTAACACTCTTTTGCTAACATTTACTTTAAATATAATTTAGAATCCACTTAAGAAAATTCACTTTATTATTTTATAACTAACATTAATGTTTTATACTGTTTTTGAGCTAACATATTATTATCCAGGTTGATGACTCACCTTATTATTCAAACTTAACTCTCAATGACACTGGTTATTTCAAAAAAAATTAAATCTACTGCTGCCCTCTCTTCCTTTCCTGAGCATGGAGGATGGCAGAGGGTGTCAAGACCCAACAGCCTGGCACAGGAGGGCATTCTTGTGGGGCAAAAGTATAAGAAATTAGTCACATAAAAGGAAATACCAAAAAAAGTAATATATTCTGAGGATTATGGGTACCAAGTTTCTCACTGTGGAAGAGTTACAAATATGGAAAGAGAAAACAAGAATTACTCCTATGGTGTTGAATTGGGATTATTAGGGTAAACTCATAGTTTTTAATACCTCACTCCCCGCTCTCTCCATCTATCCCTCTTCCTTCCCTCCCTCCCTCTCTGACACACAAACACACACATAATTTTCCCTAGCTCTGTCCACTAAGAGTATTTGAGAATAGCTATACCTCATTAGAATAAACAAATGGATTGTGGTTTCTAAATACCATTCTCTACTAAAAGTAACCAAGATTCCTTCAAAAAATGGCTGATTCCAAATACAAAATGAACCTGGACTATCTTCTTGCCCCAGAAAATAAGAAAATGCTCAAGAATAATGGGGATAAATCAAAGGAACATAGAAACCAGCTAAAGAGACTCCAACTGGTCAAATCTAGAAAAATTTGAGCATCTAAATGAATAATGAACATATGAAATTACAATCAATAAAATAAATTAGAAATCCATAAATCCAAACTGATATTAATAAATGAATAAATTGAAAGCTGATAAGAAACAGGATATTGCAGCATCTCAAAGTATCTCACCACAAAGTACATATTAATTATAAAGTGGAGGAAAAAGGATAATTTGATAGTGAAGAAGTCTGGCAGATATTCCCTTAATCAAGTGATCAAAGTTAATCATAAGTAACAAAACAAATTGAAGTCATGTGACATCTGATGGGATACAATCAAAAGAAAATAGCAACACTTCCTTGATACTCCTGCCAAGGATGCAAAACCTGAATTGAAACATAAGGGGACAGAAGACAAGCCCAAATTGAAGGACATCTCTAACGTTACTGCCCTATAATCTTCAAAAGTGCTAAGGCCAAGAAAATAAAGGAAAGACTGAGGAAACTATTCCATGCTAAAGGAGATCCAAGAGACACAACCAAATGCAATGAGTAATTCCTGACTGCATCTTTTAAAATGCTATAAGAAACATTACTGGAACAACCATCAAAATGGGATCTAAAGATTTTATCATACTCAAATAAAATGTTAATTTACTTATGTTGGAAGGTGTATTGATATTATGTAAGAAAATGCCCTTATTTCTGGGAAACACACACTAAAGTATTTCAGGATACAACTTACTCTGAAATAGTCCAGGAAGTTCTTTGTACTATCTTTGAAATATTCCTATAAGTTTGAGATTTCTTCAAAATAAAGGTTTTAAAAATTAAATCCATCCTCAAAGGACAAAAATTTGCAACCATTGAAGAAATGGAAACAAACAAAAATATGCTGTGGATGCTCAAAGCATTGAGACCTCCAAAAATGCTATAAGCGGTGGTAGCCTTAACAGGATACATGTTTGGTCTACCATATCACTACTCATAATTTCATAAGTTTGAGTATGTTTCTTTTATTAAAACGATCAGTTATGCCACTTAACAGCTCAACTTTGAACATATATATTTACATTTAGAAAAAGCATGTCTATAAAAGAATATTTCAAAAAGCAAAATCCATATATTAAACCTAAGAAAATCTCAAATGTAACTGCTTGACACCAGTATTAAAATGCACTTCTATTCTGCCACAACCACATGAGCCTGGAAGAGTGTAAGCTCCAGATAATTATGGCTGTCACCTTGATTTTGGCCTTGTGAAACTCTGAGCAGAGAACCCAGTCACACTATGCTTAGACTTCAACATAGAGTAACAGTGAGTAAATAAATGGGTGTTGGTTTAAGCTGCTTTAAAAAAAAAAAAAAAAAAGGCATTTCTATACTAGCTTTCTATAATATCCAGAAAGAAAGTGTCATTGTCATTTTTCCCTTGTGAATTTTTTAAATTTAAATCATTTCTTTCTAAATTCGGTATATACATGTAAATAAAGACATAAACAAGTTCTGGCAGATTCAGTACAACTCAGGAATTTCCATTATTACCCCAAAAGTGGAGACATCAAGGTTCCATAATGTGACAATCATTTAAAATTTCATATTTGTATCTTGTTTTCTATGGAGTTAATCTATTATGATGCCAAGCTTTTCTACAGATGAGGTATTTGGGAATGGATCATCATTAAGTGTTTATGAACTATTCTGCCTTTATTATGAAAATTTAATACAAAATCCAAAATAAATTGAGAAAAGACAATGTGAGAAGCATAGTAAGATTCAACTAGATTCATCTTAATCCTTAGCTGTCTCCTCCTGAATTAGTTTCAACTTAATCTTTAGCTGTCTCCTCCTGAATTAGTTGAAACTAATATCATCGTCGTTCAAAGGCAACAAAGTCTATTACAAAAGCCTTAAAAAAATTTAGATTATTTATTACAACAGCTATGGAGCCTTTGTAAAAATAGTATCTGAACTATGTCCTCTAGAATCACATCTATTATAATTACAAAATACCTTTAACCAAATAAACTTTAACTCACAAATGTTTATCTTCCTTAAAAAAAAGTTATTCTATAATCAAAAAAAATTACCATTTTAGAAGTTAATAAAAATTTATTTTCATTTTCAACCTTCTAATGTGTATCGGATCTATTAAATTCTAGGAAGTTATTAATTTAACATTAATGAACTGCCATCTAAATTATGTTAGTTATATATAGCAACTCCTATTTATAAATTGGTATGAGAAATAAGAACTTTCCTAAATTCTTAATATACTGAAAGCTTTTCTGTATATTTATAATATAAATTATCTATAACAAAATTACATGAGAAATAAAGTACAACTATGTATGGGACTAAAACTGCTCCTGATATAGTTACCAAAGATGACCGTTTCCTAACTATAAAATCAAATGGGATGGCCAATCTTATCTGAACTTTTTTTTTTTTTTACGCCTACAGCACCTGGTCTTCCTAGGTGGTCTCCCATCCAAGTACTAACCAGGCCTGACCCTGCTTAGCTTCCGAGATCAGTTGGGATCAGGAGTGTTCAAGGTAGCATGACCATAGACCTTATCTGAACTTTTGCAGCATTAACAATCTGGATGTCCTCCTTAAATTCAGTAATGTACAAAACCAAGCATATCCATTTTACTGCTAAGCATGAGCCTCCTCCTATCCCCCACTTATCTTGGTAAACAGGAATATCATCCAGAAAGGTTTTTTTTAAAGATTTTGTAAATATTATGATATAACAACAAATTAAAAGAATTCTAAAGTTTCAAAAGCTAGAGGCGTAAATACGTTTTAAAACATTACTTAATTAGTAATCATATATTAGAAAGATTGGAAAGGACCGAAAGGAACTAAAACAATCATTCTTATACTGAGAAATATTCAAAATACTTTAAAATTTTTTCTAGTCTCATTTAAAAGTGGATTGATAATCGTTTCTGAAAACAGCAGAATTATTAGATCCCCACAGTAATAACAGAAGTAGCAATTTTTCCAAAGAGGCCTACAAGTTTAGGGCAGTAATTTAATGTTGGGGTCAGAAACTCTCATCTTCGCACTCCCAACTAACTAAAGTATACTGTACATACAAGCACTGACTATGTTTGTTTCCATTTATCTTAAAAAATAATCAGCTACAATTACAGCTGCTAAAATCCAGGTGATTAGCCTCAGATGGCCAAAAATGGATAATATATCAAATCTTACAACTGTAACTAAATGTTCAAAACATTAAAAATAAAAAATTACCTTTCTTCTTTGTCCAATGTTTTCTTCTCTGCTGCAGTTATTTTTTTGGGTGGAACAGGAGGGGTCACTTTTCTACATATCTCTTCAATGATGCGTTTGTTCATTCTGCTTTGCAATGCAGCTTTTAGTAAAATTCTTTCTACTGCAGTTATACCATCTCCATGACTATATTTAGGAATTTCCGGTTGGATTAAAATTTCAATATCATCAAGCCAAGGAGGATAGTACGAGTTTTGTTTTCCTGAGAGTTTGTGGTGAAGTTTAATTAGCAAAGACAATATGCTTTCTTTAATTTCCAAAATGGCTGTAGTTAACTGTGGAGCTGAACCAGGAGCAGACCATTTATTTGAAGTTCTGGGACGAACCACCTGATGTGCTTCACTGCTACTGCGATTGATGATCTCCTGAAACTTCTTTCTACGCTCTGCTACTAAGCTGAAAACTTGAGCTGTACCAGAATTCTACCATTAAAAAAAGAGAGAGAGAGAGAGAGAGAAACGAAGAGAAGTTAACCAGTGTCAAGTTTAAAAACATATTAGTACTATATTTTCCAAGGGAATGTTCGAAGTTTCATCCATATATTTATTTAATAGATTTTTCTCTTTAAGGAAATCTGTCCCCTCACTTCTCTTTATCAAATATTCTTATTTCCACTCAATCTGAAAACAATGAGGAGAAAGGCGATTATCCACAGTAACACCTCTTTTGCAAACTCCTAGGCCTACCTACCAGAGGAAATAAGACAAAGCTTGACTACTATCTATAGCCATATTGAAAAGAAATCATTAACTAAGTTCCTCATCTGTTTAAAGAAAAGCTGTTCTATCCAACATTCATGAAGAATACTATTTACTAACTTTTAGAAGACTGTTACATTTTCCAATTAATGAATCTGAACTGCTAATTAATTTCATTTTTAAGGAACTTCAAAAGCTTGAAAATTACTTCTAACATATATGCTCAAAGTCACTAAGACAAAATATAAAGAAAAATCAAATTGATGTTTCATATTTGAAAATATGAAACATCATATTTGAACAGATTTTTTTAAAACTATTTTTCTCAATGATTTACTTTCTAAATAGCCTTTTTGCTAAAGCAGTCATACTGCATTAGGGCTATTAGAAATCATCTTTTAATTAAGATACAGTCAGTTTAATGGATTTCATTTATTTTTTTAAGCTAGAGTAGAACGGATGTTCCAATATCAGTTGAGCATCTATAAGTAATATATTACACAGTATTTTTCAATATCCTAGCTGTTTTTCAAAGTACTCTCTACAATTATTAGAGACAAAAGCTGCATCTTAGAGGGATTCCAATATTTTAATCAAAATTCTTCATGATGTTCACAGCAAAAACACACTGTCAAAGACAAAGAAAGCTCCTAAAAATGGACTCCAAGAAATGTGTGATTCAATGTTCTTTATTCACAAAAATGTAGACTGTAGAGATTAGACATGTTTAAGGTATTTGGGATGTCACTTCAAGACATTTCTGCTTTTTAAAAATTAATTAAGCTACATGCAATGAGAGAGCTGATTTTCAAAATGAGTCCAAATATACAATATATGGAGTTTAAGACTTTGGGACTTATTTTATCAAAGTTAATTAACTGCCATAGAAGCAAAAAAAAAAAAAAAAAAAAATTTAAAAGGGGGATTGTGCCCGAAAAAAAAATTAA